ACCTCTAATAATATATTTACTGAGAAAAATGGTGACRTGTTCAATACTTATTTTACCCGCTATAAATGTCTAATAATTATTTAAAATAGACATTATGCTTTTAAATCCTTCCTTTTCACATTTAAATCCTTCAGTAGGGGTCTTTATACAGTGGAACTACAATGCTTTGGTCCGAATTCCTCCTTATTTTACTGTTCAAGGTTATTCAAGCCCCGCCCCCCTCCGGCTTCCAGACCGGTCCACTCCGGTTTGAGAGAAGGGGGTTAAACAACAAAAGAATTGTCCATCCAGCCTTACATGTTGGAGCCAGAGTCTGCCCCAGAACCAGAGTCTGCCCCAGAACCAGAGTCTGCCCCAGAACCAGAGTCTGCCCCAGAACCAGAGTCTGACCCAGAACCAGAGTCTGACCCAGAACCAGTGGAGAATTAAGATGAGGAAATTGTAGTTGGTAACTCCAGATCTTATTTGTCTATATGACATAGTAGTTCAGAAAACGTCGTAGAAAATAGAAAAAAGTGAATGGTCTGAAAAACCTGATCCAAACARAATATAAAGATATCCTTGCAGCACCAGGAGAGACTAAATTCAACTTTTCTACCTCCTAGAGACTCCAAGTCCACAACAAAATGTGTTTAACAGCTAAAAAAAAGTGGACTTTGCATATGTCTCTTCGAATTATTTTTCAGCTAACAGGGCTGACTTCATTAATAAATGGTAACATTTTAAGCAAAGATCCTGAACAAGCAGCACTGCAGCTAATATCACATGGAATTTTAGTTCAGTATCTCTAAAACTGAGCAAGTTGAAGCTATATTTGTGGTTTTTAAAGATGGTAAACATTTTTATTTTTAAACCAGACATACATATTTTTTGGTCCCATTCACGGGGAGCACATGAAAACTCAACCCAGAAACATCTCCATCAGGGGTTTGGTCCAGCAACCTTCTTGCTGAGAGGTATGAGCTCTAGGAGTTGTGACACTGCGCTGAGCTGTGGCGGCCATCTTGATTCAGTTTGAATCTAGGTTCATCAGTCGTGGACGTACAGCCAGTGATTATAGTTTCAGAAAGTTTTCAGTAAAATTGATTTAGTTGTTTGAGATATTTGGTAACAAACCAGAACAAACGCAGACATTCTTGTCAGTCTTTAACATTCGAAGGATGATAAAAAGTCCAGAAGAACATGTTTCACAGATCTGTATGAGAAAAACAGTGGGAATGTTCGAATAAAGGATTTTGACTGAACCACTGCTTCTGCTTCTTGACTAGTTCTGTGTTTCCATGTACTCAGAAGCAGTRTGTGTATTTTTAGAGGTCTGGTGATGAAGAAAACCTCAGAACAAAGCTTATAGAAGGACGTAATAATCTCTTATATAAATAGCTGACCAGTCATGAAACCCACAGGATTGCAGCTCACTGTGCCACTGCCACATTCAAAAAATGTGTAAACAAAATGAAAAAAAAAGAGAAAAAATTAACGCACTGTTTCAATTTACTGTCAAAAAACACATTTTTTCCTCAAATATTCCAAAAATATTAGTCATAATCCCAAATGAGTTACACAAAAATGTTGAAAACAAAAGAATGACAGAGAATAAAAACTTCATTTAGAGACTTTATTCACAATTTATACACTTTTTATCGTTGCCACATGAAAAGTTCTCCCTCATTAACTCTATTTTTTCTCAACTTTGAGCCTCATTTTAAACCAGCCGGTCCATGCAGTTTGGATACGAAACATCTAATTTAAGCACTTAGTTATATATTTTTAACCCCAAGAGAATTAATCAGACTCTATTTAAAAAAAACATGATAGTCAAAGTGAGCACACAAATAACTTTAGAGAAAATCTAAGTTATCAGGTAAAACAAGCAAAAAGAACAAGAGACAGAAAGCCCAYGTTAGTAGAAGTTATTTTATGTTTCCTTTGTGCCGTATAGAAATAAACTTGATCATAAAAAGACTCTTCTTACTGCTCCAGACACAGGATCATAAATAAGTCAGATTCAAACATATTGCAAAGCAGTTATGGTTGGATTAACGTGAAAAACAAAAACTTTTCTCAGCAACACTTATTCTACTMACCAGTCCAGTAGATTTATTTCAGTCACAACAAAACTAGATTATCTTTAGGGTTCAAGATATATTAATTCTAATTAAGGCCATAAAGGCAGTTAAAACCTGCCATTAAATGTGGAAAACTATAAAAGAGGAATATAAGTGGTGTATTCTACTCACTTTACCAGCTGGCATGCATTTCAAAAATATAATCTATAAACATTTTTTTCACATGTATTAGTTTATACATTTAATTTGATTTAAATTAGTTTATCCAAACAATAAAGCTGACATTACGTAGTTTAAATATGTGGATTAACTTTTGTGATAATTAGTCAACGCTAACGGTAACTGATTAATAGCATTTGATTAAATTTGAAATATTTTCCTATATTAAATATATCACTGACTTCTCATATTTTTGCATACGAGTGTGTTTATTACCGTAAATCTGTAAATGCTTTATTATTCAGAGACAACTCAAAGTCCAAACTTTAAGATGGACACAGTTCACAGTCTGCATAAAGCTTCAAGATGTTTTTTGTGTAAAATCAGATAGTCACTTACTAAAAAATGGATTGTCTATTATTACTTTTTTCAATCGTTGCTCTGCAGATATGTGCAGTAAGTAGCTGCAGAGGCAGGTGGGGTGTGGCGCGGTACGAGGGCCAAAATTAAGATTATTGCTCAAACAGCGGTGGCTACRTCCTTGTAGCAGGAGGCTAAATCTATTCCTAAGCCAACCATTGATCTGATTAACGATAGGCCGGCACCGCTAACTGAGAGGCCGTCACTGGCAAATGAGAAGGAGACTATTTATTTGAGTTAGCATTACAGTTTGCATAAAGCTTGTTCCATGCTAGTTGCTAGCAAGGCTAGCAACTAGCATGGATAAGTTGGCGTTAGCATTGGATAGGCTGCTAACCTACTTTATTGGACACAAACATTTTTGAATGAAGAAAACTCAWCAAAAATGGTTGACATTCAAAACGTAAAAGTAACATGCAATTCACAGGTGTTCCTTAGACAGGATTTACTGTTCAACATGACATCAAGCATAAATATTAAACATAAAAAATATTACTGTGAAGCAGAAAGCTTTAGTTACCACCTGTTTTTTCTCTCTTTAGCAGAATTATAAGAAAAGCCAGAACTATCAACTTGGGGCTTTTCAGAGAAAGTTTATTTTTTAACAAAATTTTCTTTATTCAAAAATGTTAGTGTCAAAGTAGGTTAGCAGCCTAGGCATGCTAGTCACTAGCCTCTAGTTAGCAACTAGCCATGCTAGTTGTAACAACTAGCATGGATAAGCTGATGTTAGCATTGGAAACATTAGCAACTAGCACAGATAAGATGGCTCCGATGCTAATGCTATCTTACCCATGCTAGTCGCTAGCCTCGCTGATGTTAACACCAGCTTATCCATGCTAGTTTCTAGCCTCTCCGATGCAAACTCAAATGAATAGTCTTCTCATTTGCCAGTGACAGCCTCTCAGTTAGTGGTGCCGGTGTTGTACGAAATTCAGTTCCCCTGTGAAAATCTGTTTCCCCTGTGTTGGAAGCGCCTCCCTCAGGATTGGCCTGACGTTATGCCTGGACCAGTGATTCTATCTAAGGTTAACCACAGGGGGGAACATATTTTCACAGGGGAACTGAAATTTGTACAACACCGGCCCATCATTAATCAGATCAATTGCTGGTTTTATGAATGGACATAGCCTCCTGCTGTAAGGATGTAGCAACTGCTGGTTGCACAATAGTCTTAATTTTGGCCCTCAAACAGCACCATAGGTGGGGTGTCTTGATTGGCTTGTCCAATTTTTTTATTTTATTTATTTTTTTACAGATTTCTGCACTTTCAGAC